AAGGTGGTGTTGTTGTTAGGTCCATGTCTGGTTTTGGTCTTAGGGTAATGCTAGCTTTCAGAAATGATTTTGGTAACACTGTTTCACTTTAACTTTCATTGGAGAAATTTCCAAATAATAACATTAGATTTTTCCCACAAGTTCTCGTAGAATTCTTCACTGATCCCTTTGCGTTCTGATTTTTCACTGCTGTTGTTGATAGAGTTATTGCTGCCTGCAGTTAATCAGCTGTTATTGGTCTATTCAGAGTTTTTGTATCTTTTTGGTTCAAGTTTGGTGATTTGTATGTGTTTAAGAATGTCTCTATTTTTTCTAGATTCTCCAGTTTATTGGAACTTAAGTTTTCCAAATGGTCTCTCAGAATTGCGTTTTCACCTCATTTTTAACTGTATTGATAAGAGCGTTTGCTTTCTTTTTTTTTTTTTTTGGTGAATTTACCTAGGAGTTTATTAATATTATTCTTTCAAATAACCAACTCTTTTATTCATTGATCCTTTGTACTTTTTAGTCTCAGTTTCATTAATTTCCACTCTGGTCTTCATAATTTCTTTCTGTCTGTTAATTTCAGATTGGGATTGCTCTTGTTTTTCTAGGCCCTTGACATTCATCATTAGGTTTTCCCATTGGGATTGTTCAATTCTTTTAATGTTTGCATTCACAGGTATTAACTGCTCTTAGAACTTCTTTCATTGGGTCCCATGGGTTTTGACATGTTATGCTTCTGCTGTCATTTGATTCTAGGAATTTTTTTATTTCTTCCTTGACTTATCCTGTGATCCATTGATTATCAATAATATATTCTTTAACTTCTGTGTATTCATATACTTTCTCTTTTGCTTTCTAGTTTCATTCCATTGTTATTTGATAGTGTATAGGGAGTATTTCAATTCTTTTGTATTTATTTAGAATACTTTATGGCCTAAGATATGGTCTATTTGGGAAGTTTCATGAGCTGCTAAAAAGTATGTATTCTCTTCTCATTGGATGAAACACTAGATATCTTTTAAGTCTAGATACATTTTAAGTCCATTTGTTCAATGATGTAGCTTAACTCTGATATATCTTCGTTAATTTTTTGTCTAGTTGACCTGTTTATTTGTGAGGGTGTTGAAGTCTCCAACCATTGTTTTATTTTATTTTTGTTTGTTTGTTTGTTTTTGTTTTTTCTCTGGTACCAGGAATCGAACTCACGACTTTGCGCTTGCCAGGCAGGCGCTTTGCCGCTGAGCTGAATCCCCAGCCCCTCCAACCATTGTTTTATTACTGTCTGTTTGTCCTGTTATGTATAGTAGTTTTTGTTTTATGAGGTTGGGTGTGCAAACATGAGGTACTTTTATATTTATAATTGTTACCTCTTCCTGTGGAATTGTTCTCTTTATCCATTTGTAGTGGCCATCTTTGTGTCTTGATCAGAGTAGGGTTGAAGTTTCTGTGTCTGAAAATAAGATGGCTACTCCTGCTTGCCTCAGGGCTTTAGTTGTGTGGAGTATCATTTTCCATCCTTTCACTTTTAGTCTGTTAGCTTCCTTTTGAATGATCTGTGTCTTCTGTATACAGTGTGTGGTTGCATTTTGTTTTTGATTCAGCCTATCAGTTTGTGTCTTTTGATTGGAGAGTTAAGAACAGTAACATTGAAAATTATTATTGTAAGATGTTCACTGAATCCTGTCATTGTATTACTTTTCCAGTGCTGATTCCTTTGGGTTTATTTCCTTTTGTTTAACTGTTCACTCAGTTAGATATATTCTTTCCTTTGGGTTTAGTGCTGGTGGCCTCTCTGTCTCTGTTGAGTGTTCCCTTCAGTATTTTCTGTGGGGCTGGGTTAGTAGTCGTGTATGTAGTTAGGATTTCTTTGTCATGGAAAATCTTATGTCTTCATCAGTATTGAAGCCTAAGTTTACAGTATATAGAAATCTGGGTTGACAATAATTTTCTTTTAGGGTATGAGAAAATTTTGCTCCAAGCTTTCCTGGATGTTAAGGTTTGTGCTAAGCAATCTGCTGTAATTCTGATAGGCCTTTGTGGGTAACTTACTGTTTTCTCTGATAGCTTTTAAGATTCTCTCCTTTTCTTGAATCTCTGGAATTTTGATTATGGTGTACCATGGAGGGGTTCTCTACTGGTCATAGGTATTTGGAGTTCTGTATTCCTCTTGTAATTGAAATTGAATTATTTGCCTAGATTTGGGCAGTTGTCTGCTATGATTCCAGTGAATACATTTTTTATACCTTTTAAATCATCTTCTAATTCCTTTTTTCCTATTATTCTGATATTAGGGTTTTTTTTTCCTTTTTAGTGATCTAGTGGCTGTTGGAACTAGCTTGCATTGTATCTTATTTTAAGGGTATCATTGAATTTATGATTTATTAAATCTGTCTTGTCTTTAATTTTTGACACTCTATTCTCACAATGGTCAAATCTGTCAGCCATGCTTTCTTTTGAATTTTTTACCATGTTTGTGCTTGCTTTCTTTTCATGATTTCCAGTTCTTTACCAAAATGATCATTCATGTCTTATATTGTCTTGTTAACTTGATTAGCTAATTGTTTCTTCTTTAAGCTCATTGAACATTTTATTAGTAAAATCCTTTATCTGTTATTGAAGCATACCATTTATTTTGACCAGACCTTGTAACATACCTGAGACACATAAACATACTGACAGAAGCAAGTTATCTTGCTTTTGCTCTAAAATTTTAGCTATGTTCCTGGTACAAATTCACTACAAAGTTTATCTAAAAAGTAGTTTTATGAGTCCAAGAGTGTCGTTGATTGATAGAATACTTAGCACGCATGCAACCCTAAATTTAATTCCTGTACCAAAAAAATTCTTATTTGCCTTTTGTAAGGAATCTTTTAAGGAGACAGGTTCTCATTTAGTCTTTTAGTAGTTGCTGTGTACAAATCAAAACGTGTAGCCCATTGTCTCTGAAGCAGTAAGATTCCTTTTTTTCCCATTGTGTCCCATAGATGGATAATTTTATCTAAGTTAAACTTTCCTATTATGACCACCATAATTCCAAATTGTTTTTGGTAGGGCTTTATCCATTTCTCTATAAAAGCACAGGCTCTGAGTTTATATTGTACATACATAAATTAACTGGAGTATGAGATGGAGAAGTTGTAGCCTCACTGAATTCAGATGAACCCACGGTTCCATCTTCCCAAAACTTTGTCTACTGGAAGGCCCCTGCAGCACGCCATTGAATTTATATTAGACTCAGTTCATCTTACAGATGTACACTAGAACAAAAAATGCTCAGTGTTGGAGAACTCAAGGTACAAGTTGTAGAGCCAGATCAGAGAGAGATCTGTATAAGATGTCTGCATAACCAGTATATGCAGCAAGAAGCAGTGAACACAAAAAGCTCAGCAGGACAGCTGTGCCTGGTTACTCATTACTCCGAAGGGGTTATCATTAGGGATAACCGCTTCACTTCTCTCTTCTGACTGCATAACTGTTAAAAGATAAAATTAGGTACATTAGAAATTTAATACATTTATTTGAACATTAAGCTCAAATTCACGAGCTAAGCAACACCAGACCACTAGTGGTTCAGGGCTTCATGAAAGTGGCAAGAGAGGAAATTTTTTGTAAGGTGTTTTTATAAGCTGTGAACCAATTCAAATAAAAATACTTAACTGATTAAAATGGAAATTCTCTAACTAGAGGTTAGTTGGCAGTTTTTGGTACTCTCTGATTAGATTAGTTGGTATATTTTGCTGGGATAGGCTTTAGTTTTTGTCTTACTGTTTACTTTGAGTGGGTTTCCCTTTGTTCATACAGAAATTTAAAGTGCTAGAGTCATCTAGCTTAAAGGCCTCCCTAGTAATTATTTTACATTACAAATAATATTTAAAATTTTAAGTGCTTTTTAAACACAGTTATCTCCATTTTTATAATTAAGACTATTTGGAAAAAGGGAAGAGTTAACATTCCTAGTCTCAAAAAATTCTATTCTCAGTTCAGTTCCCGGTACTGGAGAAAAACCAAAAAAAAAAAAAAAAATTCTATTCTCACCCTTCCACCTCTGCCTAATGCTAAAATATTACAAATCAGTTGAAGTTCATTTATTTTAAATACTTAGCAAGGAGTTAGGGAAACTTAACTATTAATGTGATTAGCGTTTCATTAGCTATTTTTAGATATAAATTCTCACTACCCATAATATATTATACTTATAATTAATATAAATTGTGTAGTATATATTATGTATATTTATGAAAGTTTTATGTAAATAATCTCATTTATTTACTATCCAGTGATTTAAAGATCATTATTTTCCATTTATAGGAAGGAAATAGTAGCATCAAAGAGATTAAGTTTGTTAATACAAAATAGTTAATAATAAAGTGAAGATTTTGTAGTCGTTAACTGAGTCATATTCCTCAGTGAAATAGATAACATATTTTACGTAACAGGTCAGTTAGGATAATTTTCAGAAATTATATATTTTTGTCTTCAGCATGGCATTCAAAACTTTCTGTAATTAGCCATTTTTAGAGAAAAATATGTAAATTTAAATATTAATGATGTGACATAAGATTTGGCCCTTTAGTAATTCCAGTAATTTATTTAGTGATTATTATAATTTTTTTTTCCCCTTTGGTCTTTTTGAGGCAGGATCTCACTGTGCAGTTCAGATTGATCTTGAACTCACTTTGTAGCCCAGGCTGGCCTTGAACTCACAGTGATCCTCCTGCCTCAGCCTCATGGAGTGCTGGGATTACAGGGGTGCGCCACCAAGACTGGCTTTAAAAATTATTTATTAAAGGCTACTAGAAATCACTAAGATAATTTCAAGGGAAATATAGCTTAGATCTGATTTAAATATTTTTATAGTTTGATAAGTTCTCAGTCAAATGAGAGGTAAATTTATATAAATTATGATTTATTTTTTAGGTGTTTCAACCATAAAGATTTTCCCCACTGGCTTATGAAATAAATTTTCCCAAAGATTCTTAAAATAAGTTCACAGTTTTTGTTGTCTTTTAATGCAGATCTGACTGGAGCTCAAGATGGGAGTGTCAGAATGTTTGAATGGGGCCATTCTCAACAAATAGCCTGTTTTCGATCTGGTGGTAATTCAAGAGTTACAAGAATGAGATTTAACTATCAGGGAAATAAGGTAGTATTATAATATGTAATGGTAAAAATGGTTGGTTGTGTTGAAGTTCCATAAATATCACTAGCTTGAGTTCCTGAAGACAACAGTGTAGGGCTAGTAGTAAAGTATTAATCTATGTGAATTCTTTCTTTTTTTAAATTTTTCTCCAACAACGTATAAATTCATTTGGTTCTTCCTAGACTGTTTAATATATATAAAATATATTTTTTCATTAAAATTAAATGTTGCTTAAAGGCTGCATGTTTATTAGTTTATATTAGATTAAACATTTTTGATTAGTAAATATCAATGTCTTTATCCCTGGGAACCTGCTCAGAGTGTGATCCAGCACCAAACAATAGGTAGCATTTAGGAGTTTGTTAAAAATACATATTATTAGCCGGGCGTGGTGGCGCACGCCTGTAATCCCAGCACTCAGGAGGCTGAGGCAGGAGGATCGTTGCGAGTTTGAGACCAGCCTGGGCTACAAAGTGAGCTCAAGGCCAGCCTGAACTGCGTAGCGAGACCATGTCTCAAAAAGGCAAAAAAAAAAAATACATATTATTGACCCTACTACAGAGCTAGCGAATCACCATCGGCAGGTTCTTTTGTGATTTGTATACCTACTAAAGTTTTCAGAAGCACTGTTCTAGAGCCAGGGCATCAGCAAACTGTGACATAGCCGTCTGTCTTTAAATAAAGTTTTATTGCATCATTGTTCCTTCATTAATTATTTGTTTTCTTTGCTCTTTCCCACTGCAACAGTAGAGTTCAGGAGGACAAAGACATTCTAGTAGGGCTAGCCTGAAATATTTATTATATGACCATTTAAGAAAAAGTTTTCTGACCTTGCTCTAGTGCATCCCTGTCTTTACTTCGCATATTCCTGCTTTCTTCATATTTCTCTGTACCCTCATATCTCAGTAGCACTTTAAGCAGTGATTAAGTAAATAGTAAGTCAGCCTACTCTCTGTCTTCAGAATCATAGCCCACTGAAAATCATTCAGATAGTCGCTAGCTAATGGTACATCTTGTCTTTTCTTTCTCCTCAGTCTTCCAACATGTAACCCTCCTCACATGTTATTTATGTCTTGTGCTTCAAACTAGTATTTTTGTCACGAACATGTACACTTATACTTTGGTTCATGAACTTAATTTGTGGTACAGTTTTGGAAAAGATGGTCATGTTTGTGTATGTGTGGGAAAGATGGCAGTGGTCGTGTTTGTCACCCAATACAGAGTTTGCAAACAAAAACAAAATTTTCCCTAATGCTTCTGTTTGTGAACCAAATACTTGCAAACAAATGTGATCCTGAAGCAAGGAACCACTGTATTTGCATTTCACAGAAGTTAATATTGGTTCACTTAGTTTTAAAATCTTTGTTCTTAATGGAAAATTAAAGAGGTAGAGTAAAGAAGGCTTTCAAATTTGATTGTATTGTTTAAGTGTCCCTAATCAGAAAATCTGAGGTGTTCAAAAAGTTGTGGATTTCAGAACATTTCACATTTTCAGATTAGGGCTGCTTAGCCAGTATAGTTTGTGCAAATATTTCAAATTAAGAAAGACTCCAGACTGAGACACGAAAATGGCAAATTTAAGCCCAAACTTAGTATAACCCTGCGTCAAAAAGAGAGAGAGAAGAAAAGAAAAAAAGAGAAGTAAAGTATTGGGGATATTACTTAGTGCAAAGGCCCTGGGTTTATTTCCCACTGCTGGAAGAGGAAAAAAAAGAGAAAGAAGTCCTAAAATGTGAAATAGTTCTGGTCTCAAGTATTTCAGATAAGGGACTCTCAACCTATATTCTCAATTGTGTTCCCTATTAATGTCCTTTATCTCTTCATACTTTATTATTTTAGTTGTCTGTATTGTATTTCTCCTACTAATCTCTGTAACTTCATCTTTATTAATGCACTGTCTTGTCAACAAAGTTCTATAACAAGCACAGTAGTCACATAACTACAGCATGGGTAAGATAATTTTTTTCAGGAGCCCTTCAGGACACCCATATCATGCTTTACCATGGTATTTGAGACCTACATCTTAATTTTCAGCTTTAACATTCGCAGCAACTTTCCATGCAGGCGACTTAAAGACGCAACAGACTAGTCTTCTTTTTCTTTCTGAGTATCTTGACAGGAAGCCAACTCTCTTTGCATTCACATTAGCTATTAATGGATCCCAATAGCACATGTAAGCATGTTATCTCCCTTAATAGGAAAGCTTACTGGGTAAATGGTACAGATGACTCACACTGTATCACAGTAATGCTGATTGGTTTATGAATTACAAACAGAAATTAGCAGCCAAAAGTCAGTGAACATTTTAGAAAAACTAAGAGTGTAAAAAGGAGCATTATGAAGCATATATGTCCAGTGAGGAACAGCTCTTCCAAGAGGTTCAGGAAAATATTGCATTAATAAAATAAGAACAAGTTGGTATGAAACAAGGACATCAGGGCAACAGGAAAGAGTTCTTGGAAGTTAGAAACCTGATTTTCAAAAGTAAGGTCTGTAAGGAGGAACCACTCATCATACATGCTTAATAGCAGCACAGAAATAGTTAAAATTGGGAAGCACAAATTAAGAAATTATCCCGTAAAATGTCTAAGGAAATGTTTCAGAAAAAGAATAATCAGAAAAAAACAACAGTAGGTAAGCACTAGTCAAATGAGTAATAAGTATTTCCTCAAAACAAGGAATAGAATTTTTTTAAGAGAAAAGGCATTCTAAGTGCCAGGAAGAAATATTGAAAAACAATATACGTGTACACCTCCTGGCTATTTTGAGGGGTTTTTCACTTATTTAATTAAAAAATAAAGAGAATCCTGTAAGCTTCTAGGAAGTAGTAGTGGTATGTGTGGCTACTTAAACAACCTCCCCCTTTCAAATGAATGACATTGCACTACAATTAGCAGTATCCACAGATTCCAGTGTACAAAGGATGGGAGCTGAATTCATGTCCATTCAAATGGTCATTCACATTGGATGACTAATAAATATTTTAGGTGTACATTGGGGCTGGGGGTTTAGCTCAGTGGCACAGTGCCTGCCTGGCAAGCGCAAGGTTGTGAGTTTGATTCCCGGTTCCGGAAAAAAAAAAAAAAAAAAAAAATCCTTTCTAGGTGTACATTTTATGTGTATCCATACCTATATCTACTTCAGAAGTAAGATAAACTAGAAAAATAAATAAACTCTTTAAAAATCTGTAAAAATATATATAAACAGTAGATTAACATTCTTAACATTAACTATATCCAGTTTTTGAAAAGACATCATAATACAGAGGTAGACAAAGAATATAAACAGTTTACCAAGAATCTTTTTTTTGTCAATAACCCTCAGAGTTGAAGAAATGCAAGTTAAAGTACAACTTTTCTCTGGTTTAGACAAATATTTTAATAATATACAGTGCTACCTAACGTGTAAGAAAATAATGAATATATAAATTCATATCACTTCAGCTTTAGTTATGCCTTCATCTGTCAATTTTAAATAATGCTCTTTGGCAGAACATTTCCACTAGGTGTAGGGATAAGAATGTTTAGGCCAGGCCTGGTGGCATAAGTCTGTAATCCCAGCACTTGGGAGGCTGAGTCAGGAGGATCACCATGAGTTCAAGGCGAGCCTGAACTACACAACGAAATTCTATCTCAAAAAAATCAGAAAAGAAAGAATGTTTAAAACAGCACTTTTTATAATAGGCTAAATTGAAAACCATCTCTATGGAGAATGTTTTAAATTACAACTATAACTGTGCAGTATAATGCATAGCATAAGAATAAGCTAGATTTATGTCGATATGGAAAGATATTTATAGTAAATACAGTAACTGTGGAATGTGAATGTTTGAATATCCGTAGAAAAAAATTTTACAGGAAACAATGTCAGTTGTTACAGTTGGTATTTGATCTGGAGATGAGAGCAAGTATCCAAAATAGACATCTGTTCTGCATACTTTCCATAACCATGCACTATGCTTGTAATTTTTAAAGAAAATGTTGTAATCATTTTATCCTGCAAGCTCTGTATAACATACTCTCTTACTGGATTATTTTAATGTCTTTCCAGTCAAAATTACCCTGAGTACCCATAGTGGAATTCTTTTACTATGATAATTCTTATTTTGCTTTCTAGTCTTATTTATGTGTTTTCCTTATTTCTTGATGTTTTTATCTTTTTCAAAGTGAATAGGTATCTATCCTATGATAAACTTTGGTCCTATAACTTAATGTGGATTCCAGTATTCTGTTTTTAGAGTACTCAGAAATTATTCAGATGATGCTTTGGTTTTTGTAATTAAATGGGTATCTGGAATCCTTTGTCTATCCTGGAATTTTATAATGAATAGCTAAATTTTTTTTTAATTAGACCCATGCATTTGTGAAATGGAAAGTCAGTATATTAATTAAATGTCTAAAAGTAAAAATATGGGTGTCATAGTAAGGGTAGAATAAATATGTGTATTAGCATGTATATTGAACATTTCCATTTATTTTCTAAGTTTGGTATAGTTGATGCTGATGGATATTTAAGTTTGTATCAAACAAACTGGAAATGCTGTCCTGTTACTGGGAGCATGCCTAAGCCATACCTGGTAAGTCAAGACTTTTACCTATAAATAAAAGTTTTTATATTAAAGAAACTATATTTGATGCAAGAAATATTTAACTGAATAAATAAAATCTTATAGTCTTATGTAAATCAATCACTTTACTCTGACCTTGTATTATGTGAAAAGTGTTCTGTGAAGCATAAAAATCCTACATCTCTGGTAACTGGAAAGATAACATATATAAACCCTGGATGGTGCCTTAAGAGACACATGGAACTTGTAGATTATCAGTGCCCTTTTCTAACCTCACTAAACTGCAATCACTGTTCTACCTAACTAGAATTATTAATAGGCCAGTGGTCTGATTATTTTTCCATAGTTAGTCTCTATCAATGAAAAAATTAGAAAGGACATCCTGTAGCTGGTATTATTTCCTTGCTTAATAAAATATAAATATGTCAGAGCTATGCAAACTTAATAATCTTATGGCTTCAAAGAACCCTGAATTTATTTATTTATTTATTTTTGTATCTGGAATTAAATTCAGTACCTTGCACTTGCCAGGCAAGCACTGTGCCGCTGAGCTATATCCTTGGCTATATTTAACATAAAAGGGACTCAGTCCCTTTAGAACTGAGCAATATGTATCAAGGCAAAGTTAAGCATATAAGTTACGATTCTAGTGTTCTTCACCCAATGTTAAATGTTAGAAGACAGACCTGACCTAAGTGAAAACAAGCAAGGGAGGGGTGGTTAGGATACCTTGAAAAAAGGTTATTTTTTTCCCAAATAAGTTAATTTTTTTTCTCAAAATTTTTTTAAACCAACATTTAAATGTGCAAGGTTATAGTCACTTACAGACTGCCTTTATATCTTTAAACTTTTTACCATGATCTGTTACATTTTGTTTAATAGAATTTTGAGAAATATTGTATATTTTCTAATTTTGGTGACAATTAGTAACTTTTATTCATGTTTTTGCATAAATTATTTTAATGTTTAAGTATGTCTAAAAAAATGCAGGTTGTCAATATAACAAAGATAATTAAGTCCAAAACAATCTAAAACTCTGGTTTCTATCTTCCCTTAAGACAGAACTTTTCACTAAATAAGCCAAAGTAAAATATTTGAAGTTTAATCTTCTATGCTTCCTTTAAAGTTTTGTTTGAACTAAAGGAAAGGCTTGGCCTATGGGTGTAGGTCGGTGGTGGTGCACTTACCTAGCATATGTGAAGCCATTGGCTCTATCCCCAGTACATAAAAAGAGGAGAAAGAAAGAGTTGCAAAACAAGTGTGCCAAAATGTTAAAAATGGGTCATTCTGGGTAGAGGGTATCTGAAATTCTGTGTAGTGTATTACTTTTATAGCTTTTCTAAAGTTCAGATAAAAAGACACTAAGATTTTTTAAAAACATAAACTACACAATCACTTTTTGATTAATGTATCTATCCCATTCTGAAATTTTTATTAACAACAGTAACATTTACTGTTTATCACCATTCTAGACTTGGCAGTGTCACAACAAGACAGCCAATGATTTTGTCTTCGTTAGTTCCTCCTCTCTGATAGTGACAGCTGGTCTTTCAACTGACAATAGGTAAGAGATGATAGCTGGAACTAAAGTATGTGTGTGTATAGCTGAATGCTTTTTTTTTTTTTTCCAGTCCCAGAAATCGAACTCATGACCTCACACTTGCCAGGCAGGCACTGTGCCGCTGAGCTAAATCCTCAGCCCCTATAGCGGAATGCTTTTTATTGCTTTATGTCCTTGTGTCTCAATAATTTTTTTTAGGTATCTTTATTAGAAAGACTTGATGAGAGGTTTTTTGTTTATTTGTTTATTTATACAAAGCATTCATAGTTTCCTAATTGTAAATCTAGAAAAACTCTGGTGCCATTAAAGCAAAATCCATTTCCTCTGTACTTTTAATGTTCTGATGTTACATGTGTATAAGGGAAAGGGATTTGGTTGTTTGTGAAATGATCATTTCTCTGTGTATTTCCTATGTATTCAGAAAACTTGAAACAAAAAAAGAAATAATATTTATTGGCCATGTTATTAAGTTGTTATCATGACCTCCTTGGGTACAGAACAATTGCAAAATAAGAAAACGGGAAACTCAGGACTTGTTAGTTGTAAAATAGCTGATCAGTAGCAGTCCCATCCCTACCCTTATTCTACAACCAAAAAAAGTTAAGTTTATAGGAAACTGTTTCTTCTCCTTCGCCAACTCATCACTTGGAAACAACTGACTTCTGATACCCAGGAATACCGAGGTTGTTGACCTTTCTGTATTTAATCTTTTTTTTTAAATAAAAGAATGAAAACATATTAACAAACAGGCATCCATTTACAAAATAGCACAAGAACAATGTAAGCAATGCTGAATTACAGACAAGGTGACAAAAAATTAACAATGGTTGTTGTATTACATATTGATATCTTCCAAGTGGTTACTCAGGAAAACAAATATATCTGTATTTAATCTCTAAGACCTCACTTTGCACTAGAAACTGATTTGGGGCTCCGGAGTTTCTTGGGTTTTTTTCCTTTTTTCTTTTTTTTACCTGTTTTCCATAGAACTTTCTTGCATACATCAATGCATCCTTATAGTAGAAGTAAGATTTCTTTGTGTTCAAGAAAATGCAGTGTCTCGTGCTACTTGTTTACACCAGTCCATTATATTACAAAAGAATTAATACAAAATGTGTCTACATTCAGGCTTCATTTCATATGCCTTGTAAATACATACTAATCTAAAGTTACTCAATCCCAGCACTTGGGAGGCTGAGGCATGAGGATTGTTGTGCATTTGAGGCCTGCCTGGGCCACAAAGTGAGTTCAAGAGCAGCCTGAACTGCATAGTGAGATCCTGTCTCAAAAAGACAAAAAAAAAAAAAATAAAGGTACTCAGTTTTATAAGCAGTAGTTTTTAGATTTTATATAAAAATTAATCATATGTAAACTTATTTGCATTTGGTGCTTTTATAAATTTAAGAACTTTCTTTAACAGCAAAATTCAAATGTCATCATATGAACATTTTTTATAACTTTTTATGTCACTCAAAAAATAATCTTTTCTTTCAGAAACATATGTTTGTGGGATACACTTGTAGCACCCTCAAATAGTTTAGTCCATGGTAAGTTTTGAAAACATTTTATACATTTTGGGAGCCAAGAAATTCATAAACTAAAAGTGATTTTAAATTTATTTTTAATAACACATATTTATCAGCCTGTGAGATTTATTTTGCACATGATGTCAGAGTTCCTGTAATTTGAAATTTTAAAAACATTACCATTTACAATAGGACCCAGAATAAGGAAGTATTTGAGACATAAGTCTAACAAGGTCTGTATACAGAAAGTACAAATACACTTAAAGAAATCAAAGAAGATCTAAATTAATGCATTCTTCATTGTAGGATGTCATTTCCTCCAAACTTTGTAGTCCTAATCAAAATCTTAGCAAAATATTTGGTAGATATCAACAGATTAATTCTAAAGTTTATAGTATGGAAAAACAAAGGAACAACAAAGTACTGAAGAAAAACAAATTCAGAAGACTCAACATTAACTGCTTCCCAGACTTACTATAAAGCTATAGTCATCAAGTCATTGTGACATTGGCTTAAAAATAGATACACAACTCATGGACCAGAATAGATAGCCCGGTTACCAACTTAAACATCTATAGTAAATCAGCCTTTAGTCTGCTAAGTAGGCAGTTTAGTGAAGAAAGAATGTTCAACAAATAGTGCTAGATGAATTGAATATTGACTCTTTAAAAAAAATGTAGATATGTCTCACTTTTCACAAAATGTAACTCAAAATGCTTTATAAAAGCATTCTTCATTATTTGATGTCCAGTGTCTAAAATCCTTATTTGCTCTATTTCATTTTTTTAACTTTCAGCTTTTACCTGCCATGATAGTGGAGCTACAGTTTTAGCATATGCTCCCAAACATCAATTGCTAATATCAGGTGGCAGAAAAGGATTCACATGTGTATTTGATCTTCTCCAAAGACAACAGAGGCAACTTTTTCAGAGCCATGATTCCCCTGTTAAAGCCATTGCTATTGATCCAACTGAAGAGTACTTTGTCACAGGATCTGCAGAAGGCAATATAAAGGTATCTAGAAAATGGGAAAAAATCCCTTCAGAAACCCCTACTAATACTGATAATACCAGTCTGTTTAAGTAATAATATATTAATTTCTTTCTGATCATCACTACTTAAGTCATCCTTTGATGATGAAAATGATATTTAACTTTAGACAGTAAAATTAATGTTGACTCCATGTTCTGAGTTGTATAATTTACTGGATTCACTTTTAAGGTATGTACTAAGTAATGTATTGACATTTTCTTTTATTCCACATTATTCCCTAATTTTTCATATGTAAAAACAATATCCAGTCACTTAGTACCTGATTCAAGAACCTGAATATACCTGGATACACCCTGTTCTTAGCAGTCCTTTTCAAACCTCATTGGGTTTAAAACTTAGGGAAGTTGTTTAAAATGTTAAGCAAATTGTTAATAATGTTAGGGAGCTTATGAAAATTGCAGATTACTGGGTTTTAACCCAGAAATACTCGGTTCTAAACAACATTCAGGATTCTACATTCCCAGTGGTTTTTATGGAAGGTCCTGTGGAAATACATAAATCAATTGAGACTCCTTTTTGTGTTATTTTAATGGTTGGGAATTCTGTAGAGTTGAGTGATCTAGGCTTTTTAGCATATGATTTAGGCAATTCTTTTAGTTTGTACACTGTCTGAGGTTTATTGTTTAATCAAGCAAAAACCTGGAAATATAAAATTAATTCAGAAGCTATAACTTAACAAATCCATGTACATATAGATTACTATAATCATTGTATTTCTCCTAGAGAAATTTTTTTCTTCAGTGATGTCAATAAAATCAGAAAATAAATTGGTTCCCCTAATCCTAAAACAGATATCCTAAACGCATATAAGTGAAAATACCTATAATTCGCCTTAGAAACAGGTACATTTATTTTTTATAAGGGTTGCAAATATAAAATCTTAGTAAATTAAAATGTCTCCAAGTTTTAATAGTTGACTTTGTGTTGTAGTTAAAACAGACCTTTGCCGGGGTAGTGGGCCTCTGGGTGTCACTTGCCTTTTCCTAGCTATTCTTGATGCCTTGGTGAATATTCCGTATTACAAAGAAGGTGTTAGTTACTGCACTGCAAAACCACCCAGAAGAGTTCTTGATTGTAGTCCATGTAATATTACAAGTTTTTGTGGCATCCTACACGTAACCTCCAGTGCAGGAGATAATACCTTATTGTCTTATTAGATGAATTTTAAGCATGTAGTAATATAAAAGCATTTGGTAAATTGTAATACCATATACAGCATCGAAGTGTTATGCTCTTAAGACTGCACAGGTTTTTCTCTACCTTTTGTTTAGGCAGGCCTGAATTTTTCATTTGGATACTAAAAGTAATCATCAACCATGTGTTCATTTTCTTCTTGATATTTTTCAGATTTGGAGTCTTGCTACCTTTAGTCTTCTCCACACTTTTATCAATGAGCACGCTCGGCAGTCCATTTTTAGGAATATTGGAACTGGAGTGATGCAAATTGAGACAGGACCAACAAATCATATTTTCTCTTGTGGAGCTGATGGAACAATGAAGATGAGAATACTGCCAGATCAGTTCAGCCCCTTACATGAAGTGTTAAAAAATGATGTGAAATTTATGCTATAGCATTTTTACAAGAAGACGTATAATTTATTACCCTTTTGGTAGAAGTGGCCAACAGATATAATATATAGTAATCACTCTATACCACAAATAAGCTGATGCTTTGTTTTCGCATTTACTTAAGGAGCTTTACCCTCATTGATGCACTGATGCCTTAAAAATTAACAAAATCATTCATAATTTTATTAGAGCATCTAAAGTAGAATTTGTAAGTAATGCTGTAAAGCACATATGTATAGTATGTTATGAGTATGTCATAGTGTTAAAAGAATTTTGTTTTCTTATTGTTGGTCAACTTTTCTGCAGATACCTCTGCATGAATTTCTTTAACAGTAAAAATACCTTTTAAGTAAAGACTCACATACTCATCGCTTAATTCACCACTCTGACTTCCTTTATCAGACTTCACACATCTGAAAATATTTTCCTCTTAATGACAGAATGATATTTGAGTAAGAATAAAACAGATAATGAACCTCTCATTAAAACTCATTGAGACTTCAGTGATAAATGAGAGAAATGGTTCATTATGTAAAGTTTTCATCAATTTCCCTTCCACAGCCTAAACTGTGTGTGTGTAAAATGTATTTGTGTGTATGTATATATATGTGTGTGTGTGTATGTGTGTATATATATAGCCTACACTTTTGAATTTAGTTTGTATATATATATATTCAGAACCCCCAAGTTTTTCATGTGTTTTTGTGCCATAACAACTACTGCCACCAGAATAACAACTTTTTTTGCAAATGTTTATTTTGAAATGTTTGAATTCTCATCCTAATTTGCAAATAAATCTCAATAAGGCTTCCATGATTGTTATTTTCAGATTACATTAAGTCTAAATAGGCAATAAAGATTCTGTGTTGGCATATATAAGATGCTTAAAAGTAAGTTATGAATTTGACAGAGTTCTTGACTATCATACATTTTCCTCAGTTTTTTTTTATTTCTTATTTTTAAGGTGCTTTTTGTCTCAAAATTCTAAAAACCTTATAGCAGTGTTTTTAGTAACAAATGTGAAAACAGTCAAATTAAATATTTACAAATGTAAAATACCCTTCATATCTATTAATAGAAAATAAATTAAACCTTATATTTATTGTTTTTGCCAAAATATTTTATTATAAAATATGACCAAAATATTTAAAATTCACAGTGCTTTTAACTTAAATATGCTATTTCTGTCTGTTCTGTGCTGTACATTTTCTGATCCAGAAGTATAGAAAACGTGATAAATACTTGATTTTAACAAATGAGACCGGAAGAAGGGGGACAAGTGTTTAAGGGACAGTTATCTACTATTTAGCTTAAATTTATTTTGTTAGTAGGAACTACAAATTAAAGGAATTTTTATGTGGGATATAGACAACTATTATCTTAGAAATTAAAGCATCAAAGCAAAGAAATGAAGGGCTAGAAATGAATTTTGTAAATATCCTCAGGATACTTTTGTCAAAAAAGTACATTGTTAAAAGATTTTGTAAGTTGTATTTCATGATTTTACATGTATTGAGCAAGTTGCAGTGGAAACACTGTCATTATGTAGAGAGAGTTTATATATACAGAGTAACTTGTACCTACAAGTTGTGCAATAGCAATATATACCTATTTTGCCATGGAGAAGTCTGTGACAGCATTGGAATAATATTACTGTTTGATGTAGTTAAGCTTAGATTATTTTTCAGTAATTTCTTCATGAATCAAAATTGAAAAGGCATAAATAGTTGATAAACAAGATAGAAAATATACTAGTGTGCTTATTAAAACAAGTCATTGGGGATGAACAATTAACCATTTTAATTGAGGGTTTATATGAATAGCTGCAAATTATGTAAGCCCATATGTATTTACAGCCAGAGTCATAATATTTTAAATAAACAATCATGCAGAGACTTTTTTGGCATGCTATTGTTCTAAGTAATATTTATACCAATTTAGTTGATTTCATAAGACATTTTAAAGTGGAAGATTTCTGTCTTTATATGATTAATAATTGGGCAGCTTTCTCAATCACTCTTTTCTGTAATCTTTTTCGTGTAATAGGTAAGTATTAAGAAAGGTGGGAAATGAAAATAGGTGAACTATGTATGTAAATATGAAATGATATATGTACATGTAAATGCTCATTAGCCATATAACTGTAGTGATTGAGCACATCAGAATACATCTTTAATTCTGTTTTCTGAGAATATAGCTTCGTTATACGAATTCACAATATTCTTAGACTCATTTTCCAAAAAGTAGGGTTTTTCCAGCTGTTGCTGTGACAGTCATCTTCATCTTCTTTCTTGCCAACTCTTAGCCTTGTTCACTTTTTAAAAATTTCTTCTTTGAAAAAAACTGCAGAAATTTTTCACATTGCCTCAACAATTCAAACAATACAAAGATACATAATTAAAGGAAAACTTTATACAAACTTAGGGCAGAAATGCTTTTTTAACATGATTAGAAACCCAAACAAAAATATTTCACTAAACAAAAACTCTAAATATCATATGGCAGGGAAGCACAGTGCAAGTTAGAATAGCAAGCAGACAAAAAATTTTTTCCTTTTTTTTCCAGTACTGAGGCCCAAACCCAGAGACTGACACATATGAGACAAGTGCTCTCTGAGCTGTGTCCTCTCCCTTAGAAGAAAGTATCTGTGTAGTGACAGAAAATATGTCACCATCTCTGAGGCAGTGAGGCAGTGACAGAGTAACTTCAAAATAAGCTACTGGAGAAAGGTCAGAGTAAGTATTTGCCAGACTAGAACATTGAAAAAATCAACAAGCATAAAATACGTTTATCCTCATTAGTTGTTAATGGAATGCCTAAAAAAAAAAAAAAGGAACAATGTATAGGCATACATCACTTAATTGTGCTTTGCAGGTAGTGTTTTTTACAAATTGAAGGTTAATTACAATTGCATCAGGAAGGGTGTGTCTGTGCTGTTTTTCCAGCAGTGTATATTCCATTTCTCACGTTTTAGTAATTTTCATATTCCCAATTTTTTCATTATTGTTATATTGTAATTGGTGATTTTTTTAGTATTACTATTATAATTGTTTTGGAGGACTATAAGTTGAGCCTATACAAGGCTACAAACTGAATTGATAAATGTCTTTATCCTGACAGCTCTGCTGACTGTCTATTCCCCTGTATTTCTCTGTCTCCCCTCAGGTATCCTTATTCCCAGAGACACAACAGTACTGAAATTAGGCCTGTTAAGAACCCTACGATGGCCTTACTAACTGTTAAAATGAAAACAAGAGTCTCTTGCCTCTTCTTTTAAAAGCTAGAGATGTTTAAGCTTAATGAAGAAAAAAAGTCAAAGGAGGAGATAAGCTGAAGATTAGGCTACATGTGCCAAACAGCCAAGTTGTAAATGCAAGAAAGCAAAGTTGTTGAAGGAACTTAAACTAAAAATGCTACTCCAGTGAATATATGCATGCTAAGAAAGTAATACAGTCCTATTGCTGATATGGAGAAAGTTTCAATAGAAGATCATGCTAGCCGCAACACTCTGTTAACCAAAGTGTACTCCAGAGCAAAGACTTGATGCTCTTCAATTTTATGAAGGCTCAGAGAGGCAATAAAGCTTCAGGACTAGCCAGAGTTTGTTTATGAACTTTAAGGAATCCATTTCTCTAAAAGCAACCAGTCTTGCATGTGTAAATATCATTTTGTCTCACTAGTGTAAGAAGCTGAAAGAATAAGACCCACAATGTACAATACATGTTGTGAAATGAGAAGAAAGTGCTCAAAAGAGAAGAGAAATTGGAATGGGGAAATGGAGAAAAGAAAGAAAATGGAGAAATAAATAAATATATATATACATATATACATGCACACACACAAGGTAAAATAGTCATACTACTAATTGCTATTAGCTCATTGAAAGGAAAGGTTTATGCCTATATTCTTTGATCAATTTTTCATGCCTATATCTTGTAATATGAGCAACTACTTTGAATATAACAATATACAATATACTAACCATTGTTACTTTCCTACAATCTTGTTTTGAAATTTTATACCATGTTTTATTATTTTTCTTTTCTTTAAAATAAAATAAAATGTCACTGAAAAGTCTCAGAAAAAAGTGCAAAGTGAAGCAGCAAATGCTGACCCTGAAGCTTCAAGTTATCTAGAAGATCTTGATAAGATTTATGAATGTGGCTTCATATAATAGATTTTCAGTGGAAAAAGATTTGATCTAAGATTTTTCAAGGTAGGAGAAGAGAAACCAATGCCTTGTTTCAAAGGACAGGCTGATTTTCTTTTAGAAGGTAATGCAACTGGTGACTTTGTTCATTTGCCATTCTGAAAATCTTACAGCCCTTAAAAATTAAATCTACTCAACCTGTGCTCTATAAGTGGATCAATGATGCCTGGATGACAGCACATCTATTTACAACATGATATACTGAATTTAAGTCCACTGTCGAGATTCACAGGTCAGAAAACCTGACAGTGTACCTGGCCACCTAGGAGCTCTGATGGAGTTGTATTACTGTTCGCTTGCCTGCTGACACTAGCCATTCTGCTGCCCATGGATTGAGTGGTTTTGACTTTAAAGTCTTATTAAGAAATATATTTTGTAAGGCTATAGCTGCTATAGATGGTGAGTCCTCTAATGGATCTGAGCAAAGTAAATTGAAAATCTTGGAAAGGATTCACCATTTTAGATGCTGCTAAGAATATTCATGATTCGGGAAGAGAGGTTATAGTAATAACAGTAGGAGTTTAGAAGAACTCGATTCCAATCATCATGAAGGAATTTGAGGGATTTCAAATTTCCATGGAATAAATAACTGCAGAGTGGAAATAATAAGAAATGTGGAATTAGAAGTCGAGCCTAGAAGTGACTCAGTCACTGCATTCCCATGATAAAATGGAACACATGAGTTGTTTCTTAGAAATGAGCGTGGTAGTTTCTTGACATGGAATGTACTCGTGGTGATGTGAACACTGTTGAAATGAAGGATTTAGAGTATTACACAGACTTAGTTGATAAAGCAGCAACAGGGTTTGAGAGAAGATTGACTTCAGTTTGAAAGCTCTGAGTAAAATTGCATGCAACAGAGAACGAAGGGAATCATTAATGTGGCAAACATCCCTAATTTTTAAACTTTGCCACAGCTATCCCAACCTTTAGTAACCACTACTTTTAGCAGCCAGCAGCTATTAAAATCAAGGCAAGACCCCCCTCCCCTACGTCAGCAAAAAAATTACAGTTTGCTATAGACTCAGATGATCCTTAGCATTTTTTTGTTTCGTTTTTTGTTTTTTTCCAATACCAGGAATGGAACTCACAACCTCACGCTTGCCAGTCAGGCTCTGTGCCGCTGAGCTAAATCCCCAGCCCCGATCCTTAGCATTTAGCAGTAAGCTTCTTGAAATTTAAGAGTTCTCTTACAGTATTTTTTATTTTTAAATGTGCTTTTATTTTTATTAGTATATGTTTGGAGTACATAATATCACATTCATCATGGACAGTTGGTACCTGTACATAACACATTCTAGTTCTTCTCCCCTTCTCTGCTCTGCCTTCCCACATGTGCTCATCCCTCCCCTTCATTTGTGTTGAATCTGTCATTTGTTGAATTTTACATTATAGCAGTTACATCTTTCATTTCTGGTTCTTTTTGACTTTTTTTTAAATACAGTTGTGCTTCACTAAGTGATGGGTGTACTCCCCCCTCTTTTCATTAGTATATATGCAGTACCTAGTAAAATTCTTTGTGGGAAGTTGTTGGTACATGTATATAACACAACTCAGTTGTTTTTTCATCCCCTTCTGCCCTCCCTTGCTTTTTTTTTTTTTTTTTTTTTTTTTTTTTTTGGTCTTTTTGAGACAGGGTCTCTCTGTGCAGTTCAGGCTGGCCTTGAGCTCACTTTGTAATCCATGCTGGTCTCGAACTCGCAACGACCTCCTGCCTCACCCTCCCAAGTGCTGGGATTACAGGAATGTGTCACCACGCCTGACTCTCCCCCCGTCTCTTTGATCTCATTCCCATTTGAAAATGATGAATCTACTTATTTCCCATTATCTTTTATTTTGCTCCATTTTGAGTTTCATAGGGAAGAGAAATAATACAATATTTGTGTATGATTTATTTCACTTAATATGATCTCAGGATGCATCCATTTTCCTACAGATGACTCAAGTTTATCCTTCATAGTAGAGCTAGTACTCCATTATGTATAAATGCACAATTTCTTTATCCATTTGCCACATTCAGCATAGCTATGTTCTGGGGTTGAGGGTATAGTGGGAGGATGGAGAAATAAATATAAAATAATACAAAAAGCTGAGGTCAGGCAGAGCCCCCTCTCTAGATGGGAGGAAAGGAACTGCTCAACGACAGTTTAGCAGGTTGATGTCAGGTGACACCCGTCTGTCTAGCAGTCTACTTGCATGATAGCCTGGGACGCCATGAGTTCTTGGAGCTAGAGCAGCTTGTTCACATAGCTTGCCTTTGGCTCTCTGTTCTTGGGAAGGCCTTGCTCCAGCTCCACATGCGTGATCAATTTCCAGCTTCAGCCACTCCCCACATCCATTCATCTGTTGATTGACATAGCTGTTTCCAAGATTTAGCTATTTTGAATTGTGCTGTTAAAAACATGGGTATTCATGTATCACTGTAATAAGATGTCTTTAACTTTTGGGACAATACCAAGAAGGGTAATGGTTGGGCAGAATGGAATTTCTATTTTAGATTTTTGAAGAATCTTCATACTAATTTCCATAATGATTACACTGTTTATATTCCCACCAACAACATGAGTTCCTTTTCCCATACCCTCACCAGCACTTACCATGTTTGGTTTCCTTTTTTGTTTTTGGGGGTTTTTTTGTTTTGTTTGGTTTTGGTTTTGGTTTTGGTTTTGGTTTTTTCCCAGTACCGGGAATCAAACTCTGGACCTTGCGCTTGCCAGGCAGGCCCTGTGCTGCTGAGCTAAATCCCCAGCTCCTATGTTTGGTTTCTTGATGCCAGCCATTTTTCTGGAGTGAGATGGAATCTTGGTGCTTTAATTTTTATTTCTCCAATGACAATGTTGAACACTTTTTTCATATATCTATTGGCCATTGGTACTACTTCTGAGATGTGTCTGTTCATTTTAGTTGCCTGCCTTTTGATTGGGTCTTTTAGTTTGGAGAAGTCTAATGTTTTTGAGTTTTTTTTAATATTCTAGATGTTAGCCCTCTGTCCACAGAGGAGCTCTCAAAAATTTGTTCTGTGCATTGTCGCTTCACTCGGTGGTTTCCTGTGCAAACGTTTATAGTTTGATATAACCCTATAAATTGATTGTTGGTGCTATTTATTGTTCAGCTGGGGTTCTGTTTAGAAGGTGACTTACCTATACCCATGTCAGTGATGGTGAATCTTTTAGAGCTTTCAGTGATACAGTTATACAGACATGCTCCTGCAGCATGCCTGCTATAGGTTTGCCACCACTAGCCTCTCTCGTTGTTTTACCTGTTTTATCTTACAGCAGATTCTGTTTTAACATTTAGATCTTTGATCCATTTTTATTTTAGTTTAATATATGCTAAAAGATACAGGTATAGATTTGATCTTCTCTGTATGTGGATAGCCAGTATTCCCAGAACCATTTATTTAAAAAGTCTGCTTTTCCTCTAGTTTCTGTCTTTGGAACCTTTTGAAAGATCTGATAGCTGAATGTACCTGGGGTTGTTTCTGCATCCTCTATTCTGTTCCATCTGCTGCATGTCTGGAATTGTGATGTGTCCTGCTTTGCTATAGTTACCTGGGATTGCTTTTGTTATTCTAGGTTTCTTCTGGTTCCATATTAATGTTAGGGTTGCTTTCTCTAGTTTGGTGAGAGATGCTGTTTGATTGGGAGTACATTAAATCGGTGTGTCAGTTCTGGAACTATAGCTATTTTCACTGTATTGATTCTGCCTGTCCAGGAACAAGGGATAACTTTTGATTTCCTGATGTCCTCTCAGTCTCTGTATTCAGAGTACTTTGGTTTTCATTGTAGAGGTTTTCCACTTCCTTGGTTAGTTTTACTTGTAAGTATTTTGTTTTTCTTGGTGCTCATGTGAATGGTATCATTTTCCTAATTACTTTCTCAGTGAATTCATTATTAATGTACAGAAACATGATTTTTGTGTGATTTTGTGTCCTTTTATAGTACTAAATTTGGCTATTCTAGGAGTCTTGGTAGAATTTTTTGGATTTGCTATGTAGAATATCATGTCATCTGCAAATAATGATAATTTGACTTCCTTTGCAATACATACCTTTTTATTTCTTTCTCTTGTCTGATTGTGCTAGCTAATGTTTTATTACAGTATTGAACAGGAGTGGTAATAGTCTTGTCTCCTTTCTGATTTTAGAGGGAAAGCTTTTAGTTTTTCCTCATTTAATATGATGTTGGTAGTAGTTTATCATAAATGGCTTTTTATCAGGTTCAGGTAAGGCCCTTCTCTACCTTATTGTCTAGGGTTTTTATCATGGATTTTGAACTTTTATCAAAGGATTTTTATCTGTTGAGATGATCATGTGATTTTTGTTCTTCTGTCCACTTGTTTAAGGTTTACTTCAATTCCAAAATTTCTGGTTATATTTTTGTGTAGTTGATCTATTTGTCCAGTAGAGCATTGAGGTCTCCCACTATAATTGTGTTGATGTTTATCGTATCTCTTATGTTCACAAGTGTTTTTTATGAAGTTGAGTGTGCTTGTGTTCAATGCATATGTGTTTATTATTTTATCTCTATGTGTTGAATTGTTCCCTTATCCAATATGTAGTGACCTCCTTTGTCTCTTCCAATCAGTTTTGGCTTGAAGTCCACTTTGTCTTAAAATAGGATAGGTACTCCAGT